ACATGTATTTTAATTACGTCTATTAGAAAAGTAGAACTTATACTGTAAATATTTGGAGAGACAAGAATCTATTATCTAATTATTTACAGACGATAGATAACTGTATACGACAATAACAAACCCTGCAATTTGACCAATAAGTAAATAACACATGTATTTTAATTACGTCTATTAGAAAAGTAGAACTTATACTGTAAATATTTGGAGAGACAAGAATCTATTATCTTATCTGATTTATTAGTCCAATTATTTACGGACAATAGATAACTTTCTACGACAATAACAAACCCTATTATTAGACCAGTAGATCAAACATCTGTATTATATAATCACATGTATTAAAAAAGTAAATTTGTACCGCCGATTGGTTGGAGGACAAGAATCTATTATCTTATCTGATTTATTAGTCCAATTATTTACGAACGATAAACAACTTCTACGACAATAACAAACCTTGCTATTTGACCAATAAATAAATAACACTTGTATTTAAAAGCCTGATTAGTAAAGATTTCAGTAAATAAAAAAATTAGTTTTGGAAATCATTATGAATAAAAGTTCATTTATAGTTAGAGATTAAACCAAAATAGGTGAGAACATAAAGAGTGGTTACATCAGATAAGTAAACCTGTACGGCAATAATGTTGCAGATTACTGGGGGTCAATAATATATTATCTAATTATTTATGAACAACAGATAACGACAATAACTAACTTTATTGTTAGACTAATAAATAAATAACTCATGTATTGATAATTACGTAGGTTGGGAAACGTAAACTTGTGCTGCAAGGTGCAAAAATTTATTGTCATGTCTGATTTTTCCAATTACTAAGAAAAAAAAAGACATTTTACGTAATAGTAAGTACCGCATATCAAGAGAAAATGCGATACAGTAAGTATTAAAACTATTGCTATAAGAATACACGAAAAAATATGTTTATCATAGATCATATCGTATTCTTTTTTCTTAACTATATCACATGTTTGGGTGATCGACATATTGATAATTGAGACATTGAGTTTTGTTTATGCCCATCTACAATAATACATCCGTAGCGCAAGAAAATAACATCACCCGCGGACGTTATATTTTGCCGGAAACCTATTAAACAGCATTCTCGCTGCTAATTTTATCGCAACCGAAAAAGGTAAAAGGTTTGCTAATTTACAAAAATAGTTCGAACCAAGTTTAATAATTTCCTCGGTGACGAACTGTACAAAAGGTAAAATAAGTAATAAATAACTACTACCATCCAACATTAATTTCAAAGTATCTATAGTTTTAGAATGTTAAATTATAGATTTCGGAGAAAAATTATTTCACAGATAGATTATTTCACCGACAATGATTTCCGAACAATTACAGTTGGTGAACAAATTTAGCTGTAAACTATTCCTGAATGCCCAATTTTTTAATGTCAATCTCTCACACATGATAGATTTATAAATTCGATAAAATAACCTGGTTATCCGTGTTTTGATTGCCCCCGTTTAAAAGTATGGATGGGACGTCAAATGCAATAACCTGGGCAAGGCTGTTTATTAGCAAATACCAATACATCTATTGTCAAATAATAGTCACTGCAGAGGTATGACTAAATTGCGGAAAAAATTGTCCACTCCCTCAAATAATTGTAATTACCATTCTTGCATCCAAGTGGGCCAAATAACGAGCAACAATTGATATAAAAGATAATTTAATTTAACCATGATAATAAACCTCACAAATTTTACTAAAGCGATTGATCGTTGTCTTGGAATTTATTTTTTCAGGTGGAGCCTACTTATAAACAGTTAGTATCTTTTAAATAAGACTTTACTACTCACGGTCTGTACCGATCTGTGGACACTAATCTTAAATTTCTAGATTAATATCGTCCTCGGCTTCCGCGAAGTTGATCCGTAGGTTGGGTTTATTTCTAATTATCTGGACAAAATTCGAAAGAAAGAGCCAAATTTCCTTAATATTAATCGAAAAAGGATTAGTAGTCGAACAATTATCAGGGAACGAATTATTAATAATGTATTTCTACGATCGGTGTAATATAAAATTGTTTAAGATGTCACATGATTTAACAAATTCACATCTAACCGTGTCAAACTCGAGCAGTGAATAGCGTTCTTGTATTAAGCGTGAAATTGCTCTCATAAGTTTTCGAGATCTCTCATGTCGATTCAACTTATTATTATTGTGATATTATTCCTCGACAATCCTGAAGCACGAAACGTCTTGAAGGAGCGCAACACCAGTGCAGTGTGCAGTGGAATGTGAAATACCGTTATGGTGTCTCTATGGCGTTTGGTACGCATTTTAATACAATTTTATTAACGTCGGATTGTTTAGATCCAGTTGAATTACTTTTGGAGAATGCAAGAAAACTTCCTTGTCGAGGATTCTTGAAACAGGTTTCTGTCCCTGCAGATGCTCTCATTATTTCTTCATATCGACATGTCAGCCCATTGAACCTCACCGTGAGTGTTATCTTGTCTCAACTAATCATTCATGGCTTTCTGGTTTATGTTTATTATCGTTATTACGCATTCTGACACAGCCAATACTATAGTACATTTATCACAGAACCAACATACAACTGAATGAATCAAATTGACTACCATATCCACTCCTGCAAAGGTTACCCGACACAAACTCTCTCTGGGCTTACCAACGGATCTTCCACCACCGCTTAGATTGCCTCCGCCAGATGGCTATGATTATAGTAATGCGCCAGAATGTGGATAATATGACTAATGGTTAAATTATCATACCGTCTAGATTATTGGTCTTGTCAGAAAATCTATAATTGTTATCTTCATTAATACCACCAACTTCACCCGTCGCGAGCGACTACTTTTTCTATTTGTTACATTACTCTAAATTTGTATCAACGTTCGGATAATTTCAGATTCAAAGGTCCTCTCCCCCATTTTTAAAATCGGCCAAGGGATAGTTGGCCGGATATTTCTGAATAATCTCTTTCAATTCCTTCCGCTGGGCGATTAGATTAGGTGTTGGCTTATCATATACATCATTAAAGAGTTCGGTGAGAGACGGTTTATGCAATTTTTCTGCTTTGGAGAAAGATTTTAATATCTCTTTCCTGATATCTGCTCGGTACTTCGTTTCTGTCTCATCGTTCCACCAGCCCTACAAGAACCATTCAACGTTTTAGACAAAATAAACCGTCGATATCCTCACCGCTCCCTTTTTTCGCCCCTAGCTCTTTTGCCAAAGATTATTATTCACCTTGTTATGTAACCATTTACGAAGCCTTGTAATTGGGTTATCATATCTCATCCATGTCTCCGCTTCCTTTTTCGATCTATACGCGGATGAATCATCACTCGTACTATGATGACCAACTCGGTAGGTGAGTGCTTCAATTAGTACTGGTCGGTGTTCATCAACGGCTAACTGTCTTGCTGCCTTTGTTACGTTATACACTGCCCAGACGTCATTACCATCGACCCGTATCGTATCGATACCATAACCTATACCGCGACTTGCTATTCCGTCACCTTTGTACTGCTCATCAGCTGGCGTAGATATCGCGAAACCATTATTACGGCTGTTAAATTATCAATGATCGATCCATTAGTCATTGCCTCGGAACGCAGAACGACAACAGCCAACAAGATTACTCGGGACAAGAAATCATCACAACGTACCAGAAGAAGATGACTGGACACTGCATAGTGGCGGCAAAATTCAATGCGGCGTGAAAATCACCCTCGCTTGCAGCGCCGTCACCAAAGAAACACATCACACAATTCTTTTTCCCTGCCCTCTTTAGTGCATACGCCGCACCACTAGCGTGAGGTATCTGTGTCGCTAGCGGTGAAGATATCGTTTGAAAGTTCAGTTTCTTTGAACCATAGTGTACGGGCATCTGTCGTCCTTTGCCGTGATCTTTTTCGTTACTGTAGCACTGGCTCATGAACTCATCGAGCGTAAACCCACGGTAGAGAAGTATACCAGATTCACGGTATTGTCCAAAGATGACGTCAGACGGATCAAGAGCCGCACCACAGCTAATAAAAGCTTCTTCGCCGTAATTGGTCATATAAAAGGATATCCGACCTTGTCGTTGAGCCTCATATAAAATAAGGTCCATCGTATTGAGAGTTACCATATCCTTGTAGATCTTTGTGGCGAACTCCTCGGTAACCTTTTTTATTCAAAAATGTGCGTCAACATTATGGTAATGTGAATGATTATTAGCATCAGCGAGAAGTGATAGCAAAGCGAGAAAGTCATACTTTTGGCTCTTCTTCTGGAACTAGAACTTTCCCCTCTTTATCCATGACTCTGTACGTTGGAATTGCATCCATGTTATGAATAAACTCTAATTTTTCTGTAAAGTAGCTCCCTGGCGCTCCAGGAAACTCAACCTTTTCCGGATTTTGACATTTTCGAGTTGCTGTTACGAAAGTCTTTGTTATTATATAGACATACAGCAGCACAGCATGTTAACAATCATGATGGTTCGGCCTCAGTTTGCATAATCACAGTTATAATTACCCGAGAGACTTTAGTTATGGTACATGTTCTGAATGCTCGAGTACGAACTATACGGGTTATTAATGATCGGGCAGTGAACATCTGGGTGACTATGGCGAGAATGTGGACAAATTGATTATGCAGTTATATTAGAATTAGCCTCAGATCCTTTCTATTTTGAACCTTCCCCACCCAATGATGCATACTTTTTTGTTTATTATTCCAAGATATCGGTGTCATGATCATCGACACTTTTGCTTGTGTGGGAATTCCCCCTTGCGTGCAGAAACTACAATAAGAACAATAGAAATTTTGTATCAGATGTCTCGTGATCGTTACAATAGTCGATCAATGCTTATTTCTGATAGTGTACGACTAACGCTGAAGTAATAAAGACTGAAAGAGAGTATTTTATCCATTGTATCATATATAGACATTATATTTACCTTCCACGCGGGAGAGCAATCGATCAGTGAAATTGGAATTTAGCTAATTTTAAACGGAGCTGTGTTTTCTCTTATTTATGACGATAGTTGGAGACTTTTAAACCTGCTTGTTGGATCGGTGGACACTGATTAAAGATCAAGATTACGCATACTGATTTGTCCGTAGAGTTTAATGAACATGTTTTATCATTTAATGTCAAAAGGCTCTTTCCAGATTAAATAACACATATATAACGCTCACAACAGTTATTAAAAATAAGAAAGAAAAATGACGTAAATAATTCGGTAAGTCAATGGTTAATTAATGAAAAGGCGTAGGCGTACAATATGTAGGGAATGCCTTAAGGCGGATTGGAAAGGACGGAAAAGTCTAACATACATTTATGAAAGCATCTTGTGCTAGGAAAATTATTGATACATAGAAATAAAGAAGATCAATACATGTATATTCTTTCTCGATGAATAGTTTTCCAAATTAATATCTGATTTTATAATAATTATTACGTTCCCGTTACTTGTAGTATTTGTAGTTATTCCAGTGTTGTTGCCAAACGGCCAAGTAGATTGTGTTGACCTGACGTTTGGGGGGGGTTTAATCATTAGAAAACATGCGTCCATGCATTACATAAAATAATTATTAATCAAGTTATATTATAAAGTATGGGTTACAGTATATTATTAATTCGTACTACATTATGAAATTGGACTATCAATTCGGTCATCATTAACTCCGCGATGTTAAAAATCAATAATGTTCTCGGTGTTGAAAGAAATGGGTTTTGATAAAAATAGATGACCATGCTGTATAATTTAATAGACAAAAGTCACTAAAGAATTTCTATGAGATTAAAAAAATGATGAATTAAAACGAGTAACGTCTGAATGACCTAATTTGTCATAATAATTTACTATGATTATAATGTTACTTTAATATCGAATTCAAAAATAAACGTTTAGTTGTTTTTCGCAGATAAGTCATGTCGACCTTTCCTACAGTTTACTTGCATAAAAATAAAACTCAAACAGGTTTTGCTGTCCCGTAACGCATGGCACAGACTCCATTAGACAAAAAATTAGTAAATAGATAAACAAATAAAATACACTATTCAACTATTACACTAGTTTTCTACATCTCCTTAAACAGTTCTTCAAAATGCCTAGTCAAGTTATTTTTTCTTTCCTAATAAGTTACCCATGCCATGGATGTAAATGAATGTGCACAACTTGACCAATCACAGTCAACTTTCATATATTCTCTCCAACAAACATCGGGTCAAAACATCCCTCCATTTCTACTCGTTCCAATAATTACAAGTCATGAGCATAATGATTAACTTTGAAACACTGTTGTGAACTATTTACTAATGTGTGACTGTACATCGAAGATAGCATGCCATGCCCGAAACAGTTTGTTATTATAATATCAAGGAGTTTTAACGTCAAACTACTTACTGTTTACAAAATCGTATCACTCTTCATGATCTTCATGTAAAACTGTGATCATTTAGTATTCAGAATTATATAAATAAGAGGCAAATCCATCTGATAATGTCTACCCATTTATTTGTCGATTCTCCAAACCAAACCACGCTCTAACCAACTTTATGCCCGATATGGCCAGTCCTACTCAACAATCGATTAACGAAAACTGTATGGACACTGACAGTCTTCCATTACATTCGGTTTACACAAACGTAGTTGGCAATAACGTTAATTCCTACCTACCCCATCAAGCGTCTTCGCTACCGACTAGTGCAGGGTTTTTTTCTTCAAATATCGACTCTCTCGGCAATAATGCCATCTACACAGACGGAAATGAACCGTCAAATACCGGGCCGTACGGAAACTATGAAGATAGGATCAATCATTCAACGGTAAACCCCGGTTTGACCAATGAAAATTTACCCTTTACCCCCCAGGCGTCAGGTCAAGCACAATCGACTTGCCTGTTTTGTAACAACACTGGAATGACAAATGCTACAAGTCACAGAAACGTGATAATTATTGTAAAATCAGATATTGATCTGGAAAAAGTATTGGCTGACATTCAACGATTGTGACAGAGAAAAAATACATGTACCTGTTTATTTAGTCAATTCGGTAATTTTGGAGCCTTCGTTAATTTTTTTCTAGTATAATATTTTTCATAAATGTTCGTTAACCTTGGTAAAGTAACTCCATGCTTGCCACGCCTTTTCATTAACTGATGGTTACCGGTATTATATATGATGATAAGTTTTGGTTTCTGATGATGATTTGTATAGGGCCCGGTGGCGCAATCAACTTCAGGCAGGCGCAGTTTGTCTTTGATTGGAAGATGATTGACCGGCCCATTATAAGTAATCACAATAAATGTTGTTTATCTTTTTAACCGAGCCAAATATGATCAGGCTAAATATATGGAGACATCGATCATTTATCTCTGACAATAATTTCATCGTCCAAAAAAATCGAAATGACAAAGATCTTCCCAAATCTGCATTTACTATGCTGAACAGCAAAAAACCGGTACGTAAACGTTGTATAAATAGCATACATACTGTAAATTTCTAATAAAATATCACATTTAAATTTATTTCTCCATCATTTCTCATCCAAATTGAACAAAACTTTGAACACATACTGTATATTCAAAACAATCTAAACACATTTTGTTAGCGCTGTATTTGAGCTTAACATAGTTGATTTCGACTTTACAAATACTCGAATGTAGAAGACAAAACCGGCAAAACTGTTAGACTGAATTCAATCATTTGGTTAAGCAGAGAAAATAAATGTTAATTAATACAAGTTACAAAACTATACGTAAATTGATATTGCGAGCAAGTTAATTAGTTTACATGTGTGCGAATTTGACGTAAGATTTCGTGTTACCCGGTCATTTTTTGGAGGGCTGTCCATCCATCAAATCGTATAAGACTACGTCACCATGAAAATTTCACGTTCACATGACTGCAGTATAGAAGCAAAATTTAATTTATGCTAAATTTTTTGTTAAACTTAAATTATATATAACAATAATCATGTAAACGTGAAATTTTCATGGTGATGCTGGGGAAAATATAAGACTTGAACCGACAATGGTGGTACATAAGAGGTCCGTAGTAATACCGGATATAAGAAATGCTATTTATACAACGTTTACCGTTTTTTGCTGTTCAGCATAGTAAATGCAGATTTGGGAAGATCTTTGTCATTTCGATTTTTTTGGACGATGAAATCATTGTCAGAGATAGATGATCGATGTCTCCATTATACTTAGCCTGATTATAACTGGCTCGGTTAAAAAGATAAACAACATTTATTGTGATTACTTATAATGGGCCGGTCAATCATTTTCCAATCAAAGACAACTGCGCCTGCTTGAAGTTGATTGCGTCACCAGACCCTACAAATCATCATCAGAAACCAAAACTTATTTAAAATTACATCATATATAATACCGGTAACCATCAGTTAATGAAAAGGCGTGGCAAGCATGGAGTTACTTTACCAAAAAAAAGAGAGAGAGAAAAATTATGAAAAAATATTATACTAGAAAAATATTAACGAAGGCTCCAAAATTACCGAAACAAATTTGATACAGAAAAAATAAAGAAGACTAAATAAACATGTATTTTTCTCTCACAATCGTTGAATGTCAGCCAATACTTTTTCCAGATTAATATCTGATTTTAAAATAATTATCACGTTTTTGTGACTTGTAGCATTTGTCATTCCAGTGTTGTTGCAAAACGGACAAGTCGATTGTGCTTGACCTGACGCCTGGGGGAGAGAGCAACGAGTAAAGGGTGAATTTTCATTGGTCAAACCAGGGTTTACCGTTGAATGGTTGACTCTAGTGCCATAGTTTTCAGCGTATCCGTACAGCCCAGTATTTAACGGTTCATTTCCTCCCGTGTAGATGGTATTATTGCCGAGAGAGCCGATATTTGAAGAAAAAAACCCTGCACTAGTTGGTAGCAAAGACGCTTGATGTGGTAGGTAGGAATTAACGTTATTGCCAACTACGTTTGTGTAAACCGAATGTAATGGAAGAGTGTCCATGCTATGCGCCTGATTGAATGGCATATCGTATGTACAATTTTCGTTAATCGAGTGTTGAATAGAACTGGCCATATCGGGCATAAGGTTAGTAGAGCGAAGAGAGCGTGGTTTGGTTTGGAGATTCGACTGAAGCCTCCCATTTATATAATTGATGGTGTCAATTGTGCAACATAAAGTGAGTCAACACAAATATTAATTGTGCAACACATAAAGTCGACAGGAACCTCGAGGAATTTCAATGTGCAACATCACGTAACACATAAAGTCGACATTAGGAAATCTCATATGTGGGAGAGCTGTTAATGGGAAATGCTCGTGGTCGTTTTTTTTCCTCTTCCTTTTTTTGTCGTTATTTTCTTTTGTTTTTTGTGTTTATAGAAAAATTTTCTCTATCAGCTGATGGGGTTTTTTTTGTTGGCTGAGTTTTTACCGAGATGGAGCCGATATAGATTTATACATTTTCGAGTGGAGTGCAACATAACACACATAAAGTCTCCATTTAGGAAATCTCAATCTGCAACATCACATGAAATCTCAATGTGCAACATAACATAAAGGAAATCTGAACGTGCAACATAAGGAAGCATCAGATTGATGCAAATTATAATAGGTGATACAGAATAAATCTTGTCCATTTTTTATACGGTATTTAAAAGATCGAGGACTTATAATAAAGACCATTTACTGATATCATAGAATGCGTTTTCAGTAAAGCCAAAAAGACTTGCTGTTAATAAAATAAAATGTATTGATCACATCCAATTATTCTTTGACAGAGGAATGATTTTATAGGTAAGGTAGGTAAACCCACTACAAATAATGTTATATCAACTTACAGTGAAAACAAAAATAACAGTAGCATCTGGAACCGATAGTCTGCCCGTTCTAACGAAGAAAAATCGAACAACAGCAATTGAAGAGATAACACATGAATTTGCGCCTGGACTAAATATTTGGATAAACGAACGTATAGTTCAAAGTGTTCTTTATAAAGAGAGATTTTATGCCAGGGTTGGTGTTCGTAAATTGCTTGTGTCTGAACAAAGTGGTTTCGTAGAATTCAGGAGCTATGAGTCGAGTATCTAAAATTTCAGAAATGACCCCCGACATTGGTTTGGTGAAAGTCATATAAAAAATTGCATGTTGATTGTCTTATCCCTACAGTCTGTAATCGGCAAAATGATGGTGGGAGTTCGTTTTGGTGCTGCTGAGCGGCAGCAGCTCTCGGAACAATAATACGTGGTAATCCTGTACAGCGGAGCTGATTACGCATAGTACTTACGGGGTTTTTAAAATAACCATTCTACCTAAGAAAGATGGATTAATTACAATAAATTGTGACGCGGTTAAAAAAAGATTAATTAGTACACTCCAGAATATAATATCTGAATTATTCGGTATAGCTGGAACCAGTAATTCTGATATCATATCATTAATATTTAATTCTAACTTGTTCGGCAATTATAATAGCCATTCGTTGAAAAGTTACAACGCGTTAATTATTATAAACTAATCCGGCAGTTAAAAACTAACAAAAATTTCCGTCTATGACTTTACCCATATTAGTATACAAAACTCACTCATTAAATCTTCATTTTTTAATTTACTCTCTGTTCCATGTTATGCCAGAAAATTAATCAGAAATTTAATTATCTTCTAGTAATCTGAACAATGGGATTCTCTTCTAATTTGCACCAGCTTCTATTTGCTTACATTTGCTTAAATTTTGCTTGTATGAAATACTTTCTGCTTTAATTTTGAGGCACACAGTAAAGTCCGTTTCGCTTGACGAAGATAGCCTTATAACAAGCGAGCTTTTTTATGAAACCGTTTTATTCATATATAAAGATAGAAATTTGTTTAACGAATAGTCTGCTTTAATGGCGGATCGTTAAAGCGGATTTCACCGTGTACTCTATTATGCATAAAAAAAATAATACAGTAAATTAAGAATTCTTGTATAGACTTTCAAGAAAAGTTCTACATGCCTTCTTCAAGGCTTAGCAGTGTGTGCTTGCTTACAAATAAGGCCTGCAAATAATAAGATCAACATCAGTGTGTCGTGAACTCTTAATTATATAGTTTTCCATTAAATTACGTGGTATAATAACTTGGCGACTTTTGTAACATCTACTCCTATCCGCTCTTTTAAGCGTCTGCCCTACCTTCTAGTCAAGTAATTAGTAGTGAAGCAGTGATTGATGCTCCCGGGTGAATTACAAATTCAAAACCAGACAAAAAAAAACCGAACCAGCTCGACTGTTGTATAAAAGTCTATGTGTGACATAAATACCGCTCTTTATTACAAAAGACAATTTAAATTTTACATTCTTTGTCGAAGATAGCTTCGAAACGATATCAATTTATACGTACGACGCATATTTTCGACAAACGGTTTTCGTTATGTTTTTATCAATGATGATCAAACTGATTGAAATGTCTGTAGCTGTATGCGCTATTCAACTCTTTGTTTACGCTCGTGTACATGTTAAAGTAGCAATTATAAATATCCTACCGACCATAACTACGCCATGGACAAAATAAATTATAAATGCAGCTGAATGTTAGATGACATTTCATACTGTCTACGCAGAGCGGTTTTATAAAGTACTTGCGAAACTTTCTTCAACCCTTGTATGGTTTTACCAACTACTGTATCTCTTTGCCCAATGCAACCGCTTTCTTTGATTATCTACAAGCAGAAAGGAGAATACTTGCCCCAATTTTACAAAGACACCGTTTTAAAATCCCTGCCATTCCACACGCGCTATTTGACAATTTATTTAAATTACATTAAGTTGTTCACAGATTTGTAAAAATATCCTGATGGGAAAATAGAAAAGGTATTTACTGTGCACGTAAAAGCAATGCAGTGAGATACTTGATTATCATTTACCGTAACACACTATGTGTTTGGTGTGATAGTTAGCGTCCAACCTGTTTAATACAAGGTTACACCGATTATTTTGATACATTTATTTAATGGGGGGCGGAATACAGAGCTATTGTTCGATCACTCACAAAAAATGTACTACATTTTAATTACTTGGGATATAAACAAAGTCAGGAGGACAAGATTTTCTTCAATGAATAAAGCACAAAAGAAAAATTTTGTGTAAACTTAATTCTCAATTTACTTATTAATTGTTAAGGTTGTTGGTATGTCAAGGTTTATATTAATATTTTATTGACCTTTTCATTAACTCGGTTGGATTAAATGTTGAAACAAGCTTTTAGCAAATAAACATAGCTGTAGCTAGTGATGAAATCCCATGTTAAAGACAGTGTGGTACAGGAGCAAAGGAGATTTGAACTCGATCGAATGTCGGTCGATATTTAAGAGCAAAATACATCGGTCTTTCGTGTTGCACCGGATTTTGACCCCTTTCTGTTTGTTTGTAAAAAGAGGATTTTATTTAACCATTTGGGTGCTATCACAGACGATTACTGATCTGCCAATAAAAAGTCGATGTAAACTTAGCATACGTTGGGCAGTGTAACGATAAGCTACGAATCATACGCAATATTAGTATTATAAACAAACAATCACTGCATTTTAATACATGACTTCTGTAATGGGAATGATACGCAAAATGGAAGAAAGTTCCTCCCCCCAAATAGTATTTATTTAAGAGCAAAAAACCTAAGCGTCTGGTTATTCATCAGTTGAAGTTTCAACCCAACTCTGTTTCTTATCGTTATATTTACTATGTCCAATATGACCGATTTCAACAACCAATCAATTTACGAAAGTAACTCGTACAGTATTCCGCTCGATCAGATGCGTAGCGCGGACACTGACTATGTGGGCGTCCTTCCATCAAACCAAATACCTATTCTAAACTCTAATTACGCGAACGCAAATAGTATGGACTTCAATGACGCTTGTTTCTATCAGTCTCTCAGTCAGGATTTTCGTCCTTCTGATATCGGCCCTCTCGATTCTAATGGCATTTACATGGATGTAAATGAATCGTTGAGTGCTGAGCGTCACGAATACGTGGAAAACAATGAAAATCGAATCAACGATGCATCTATGGACTATTACTCGAACAGTGACATTGAACCCTCCGTTCGTTATCTTCTCCCTCAAACACCAGATCAAGCGCAATCTGCTGCCATCTTTTCCAACAACGCAGCTACAAGTCACAGACAAGTGATAATTATTATGAACGCCGATATCAATTTGGAAAGATTATTGTCTATCATTCAGCAATGTGGAAGTGTGGACAGGGTATACATGTAACTTGTTCTTTAACCTTCTTTGTTTTACATATTGATACTAGTAAATTTTGAAATTTTTATTATTTGCTCTTTCATGTGTTATCGCTTGCGTTTTGAATGTCATAAGTGAATAGCTTTATAAGCTGGCTGGTTATTTCGGGGAATTAAAATAACAAGAATAACTCTTGAAATTAGTGCGTTTATTATTCCAACTACATCAAGTCAGAACGAGTTTTTAGCAAACTAGTAAATTATGATTAAATATAATGATCTAAATTAATATGAAAGGATAGCTTCCCCAATACATTTATTAATTAATGTATGTTAGTGCAATCTGACCGTGAGGAACGAATAAATTGAGTTAATCTAATATGATATATAGTCGTACAAACGATATATTAATATCAATTGGTTCCCAAGTTAAATTATGCTTGGCACTTTCTGAGCGCACACTCTGTTGCGTATACGACTACAGATTCAAGAAAAAAGGGAAGTTGGCATTGCAACAAAGCATGTAACACATGTAAACGAAAACTAGCCGATTAGTGAATCTACTCCTGCATAGAGAACGGAATGCAAGTCAAGTCCAATACATGAAATTAAAAAGTGTAATTATTATTATTATCAATCTATGTTTGTTTGTTGCCTTAAACAGACTCTCTCCATCGTGACATGAACCTTTATTGGTTATTACAGTTAGGGGCATCGGCGCGGATCTAATACTAACACTACATCAGAGTATATTAAAATTACTACTACTTGGAGAATGGAGCGGAGTATAAATGAAATTACATCACTTATTATTATCATTATCAATTTGTTTGTTTGTTTGTTTGTTTGTTTGCTTTGAACAGTTTCTCGATTTGGACATGACCATTTATTGGTAACACTACATTAGTATATGACAATGTGGAGTTGAGAATGGTCTTCAGTAATTGTGTTCAGTAAAAAGTCAGTTTATACATTTTAACCAGCTTTTCTAGCGTTCAACTCATTTTTTTGCCTCTCCAAGTTCTTTCTCACTGACCCAGCACGCTAACCAAGCTCTCTGAAATGGCGCGTTAGCGACGCTGAAACTCTAGCGTTTATACATAGAATTAAGATTAAATCCCGGTGAACTAGTCATCATGACTAATAGAAGAATATTACTGGCATGGCATTCGATCCCGAGCAGCGGAGAAAGACATTTAAAAGGAGCGTATCTAGAATATTGTGAGTTTAAGGATAAGTTGAGAGCACTGTTTGCAGCGGAAAGCAATAGAAGCTTACAAGGGCTATAGTTTATTATTAGATACAAAAAGTCCGTTGCTTATAGATCTTTTAAAAATCTGGCTATTCTGAAGTTGGTTAGACCTTCTAGACCGTTACGACAATCTCTATTTGGATGAAAAGAATTGTAGCAATATGAGCTTCCGTAAGCAGGTCTAACAAAATGAAGGGTGGAGACGTAACCAGGATAAAATTATATAGTACTTTGATGAATACATCTGATGCTGCCGATACTCATGGGCGACAACGAATTCATGTCAAACACTATACAACACTATATAATCGGATACTTACTCCTCTGATTGCAGAAGTGAATTGGTCACAAGACATCTGACAAGGTTTTATCTTTTCCAAGTGAGATTGTTGCTCTACATTACCACTTTTGCGAGAACCTTGGCCCTTTTGACCAGACTGGTCCTTGGTATTCCTTAACGTGCTGATGAAATGTCCCTAATAACGGCGATGGGCAATATATAAAAAGTAGCTGAGCTGCGGTCTCTTTGGTGTTTGCGCGTATAGGCGTTGTATGCAAGCGCACTTTAATGCCGGCGGTCCAAAGAACGAATGCAAACTGGAGATCTTTGTTGTTGCGGGATGTCATTCACTCGCAAAAATCCGAATAATCATAACGGACTTTTCTCAGTGTTGAGTGACGTTGCCTTCTCTATGCGTTTACTTATCCAGCACAGATGGAATAGGTTGGTATAGTTGATGGGTTTGGTTGAAGTTTTCTCATATACGAAAGAAGCAAATTCTTACATCCGACTGATTCGACCAAGCAACCTGATACTCTCGTTCGTGACGCTTATCATCGATGAGGCTATTGGAACAGCTTGTGAAGAAGCTTGTGTCTTGGAGGGAAAAACATATCTTAATGGAGACCGGTTATGTCGATGATGGATGTGGTTACGACTTCCATTTGCAACTTCTATTAGATTACGGACCGCTACTCTTCGACGACTACACAATTTGCGCATAATTGATGCGTTCCACGACGTTGTCAAGCATCATCTGGCTGGTAAACATGCTTTTACAAGTGTGTCTATGTGAATGTCATCAAATACAGGACCAACACCTTTCTATTTTTTGTAAACCGCCGTCTTACAGTACAAGCGGACACTTCACGACGACGACGACGAGTTGGTGAAGCCGGTATGACTATGGGGTAACAGAGCATCTTCCGGGATCTAGAGAACGATAAATTATTCGACATTAATTGAATGGGAAATAGTTTAATGGATGCAATACGCACTACACCACCAATAACATGTGTCTTCAGGCAGCCCGTAAATCCTACCTTATTCTTCAAGTCCAACGCCGAAAGTGAATTTCTGAGGCGTTGCACCTGTTTCATTTGGACGATCAATTTAGGGGTGGGTTGGGTATTCTTAACCCCCTAAATCGATCGATGATTTATTAATTTTGGCTGGTGCACCATATATTAGCTATAAGATTTACTAGGGTTAGGGTAAATTTTGCAGATCTGCTGGGGGGTGCTGACTATCGGAAATTTAAGTTACACTTACACAAACTCCGCAAGTTATATGTATATTAATATATATATAGTGACTGTCGGATCTCTAAGACAACACAGCTGTTTCTCTCTCACGTTATAATTGCTTATGTCCAATATGGCCAGCTTCAATGACCAATCGAGCCATGAAAGTTATACATATAATACGGACAGCAACTACACAAACACGGACTTGGGTAGTATGGACTCCACCGACATCTATTTCCATCAAACTCCCAGTCAATTTGATCCTCCTTCTGATACCATTCACTTCGACACGGATGGAAATACGCAGTTGAATCCCGAGTATTACGAATACGTCGAAAACGATGAGAATGGAGTCAACTATTCAACCATGAGCGATTATTTGACCAACTTGACCAATTACAATACACCTGAGATCCCTCAAACTCCGGATCAGGCATCACATACTTTTACTAGTCGTCAATATATAGTAATTGTTGTTCCAGCAAACATTGATCTGGAAATGTTATTGTCCCTTATTCGATTATGTGAGACGGAAGAAAGGGTATACATGTAATTCGTTTATTTAATCTTTTCATATTTTATATGTGTCGGATTTCCTTAATGATAAATTTTTGGTTATCTGATTTATTTATCTACCTTTTCACATGTTATGGATATGGGAGTAGCTCTTATACTTATTCGTATTGTCCGAATATCTTCGTAAGTCTAGTCACTTTTCTTTATTCGTATAGACTTATTCGTGTAAACGCAATATAAAGTATCGTAAGGCGGTTTATGATAAACGGGACCTGCAATAATCTGTTTAAATCAAAAAACAGGGTTTGCAACATAACAGATAAATTATCGATAGTCAAATTCTTTATACTTGCGATCTTGAGTCGCTCGATATAATAAAGTAGTTCGGCTAACGAGTTTATTTTTATGGGAATAACTTGCCTTATGTCATGTCATAATATTATTTGTCATCTTCGTTTGACACCTTGTATAAGACTCACTCGTTATTTGACTGATTCGTAAACATATGATATTATCTATGCCAATATTGGAAGAGTATGCACAAACGTCTCTTAACAGAATGCTGAGGTTTCCCAATTACTGTGCAACATCGTATGCACAGATTCTAATTCGTAACAAGTAGCGAAAATTGATACATTACTTGTGTAATAGAGACACTGATTACATTTCTTTAAATTAATTCTACTCTGAAAGTATAAGAAATGTTCAGTATAGTACGCACTACAACATTAATTATAAAAACTTTTTTCTAACCATACTACTACAGTATATCATAGTTCCAAGTCATATGTATACATTATCGTACAGTACATTGTCTTTGTAAAAAAAAAACCAGATTAGTAGTTTCGAAAGAAAAATTTTCGTTTAATGAAGGTGTAATTTATTAACAGCACGAGTCTACGTAGCGGATACTATTTATTCATTATATGCTAGAAATAATTATTGCGATATAACACACATATATACCTCAGTTGTATCCCACCTCAAATATATCCCCAAAAAAGTTTCGTTCCAAAGTGGAGATATAAACGAGGTATGACTGTAAATAAAAGTGACAGCGTCAATAGGTTTTCTTTGTCTCAAAAATAGTATTAAAAAATACCGCTGTTTGTAATCGGGTTTGGCGACGTCTATCCGTAATTTCATACCCTTCCAATTGTACCGTTGAGTGTCGACATATTGCAATTACGTTAAACGAGCAATTTGAACCAAGAGTTGAGGCTACGGGACTCTACCATTGAGGGATAAGAATGCCAGTTAACACACTTGAATATGAAATCTTCTTATAATTGTAACGTTAACATTTATTTTAATTACAGACTTGTTCTAAAAAAGCATTGTTATAAAATGGTTGATTTTGAACAAGCGATGAATATAAAAAATTAAAAAAATTGTTTATTAATATTTTACATTGGATTATGGTATTAGTAAATTTGGGGAGCTAATATTCATTATTCCCTCTCACATGACCGTATAATAGACAATAACCTTTCCAGGTTAATGTCTGCATTTACAATAATTGCTATGTATCCACGACTACTGGCGTTTATTGCCATGCCAGCGTTGTTGGAGTGAGCAGGCGTAGGTGGTGTTTGACCTAATGTTTGTGGGAGAGGATGACTCGCGGCATTATAATTGGTCAAATCATCGTCCATTGTCGAATATCGGTAATGCGCGGGATTCAACTGGGTATTTCCACCGATGTAGACGTTGTGATTGTTGAGGGGCCTGGTATC